ATTTGTCCTTTTAATTTACTATTGCCCATTGAATTAACCACGGTCAAACAAAAAACTACAAGTTGATTGTCATCTATGAGGACTAAGATGTAATTCCTCATAGCCTGTAGATAGTTGGCTCCATATACTCTTTTAAACAGAACACAACAGAGGATTCAATCCTGAATAGCAGTAGAAATAAGCAAAAGGGTACACTACACGAGTACACTTCTGGACAAAACAGGAGCCCTACCAAATAACGTACTGTTGTGTTGTGGTTAAAACGGCTTTGGTTAGAATTGTAAAATAGGTACTATTAAAATTCATCGGTACACTTATAGTAACAAAAAATTTCAGAAGTTGACTGTAATTAGGTGGCCTTTATCAGTTTCATTTCATCATGCATTTCAGCCTATCAAAAATTCACTGCTGAATATAGTCCTCTCCAATAGAATGTAACATCTACATCTGTCAATATTCTACATATTCGCCATAGCCGTTACGCTTGGTAAAGGGTGGGATCTGCAATTTTTTTAGTATTTTAATTTTTTGTCAGGAAGATGCTGCTGCCCAGATCAGCTTTAAGAAAATGCATATTTGTAACACCTATATGGATAAATATATTGAATGTATATATGTAAATAATGAGATTATCGCGGGTGCCTATACTGGTAAAGAAATCCAACGTTCCATATCGACGTGTGGGTGTCAAGAAATTCGAGTAAGTGAAATCCTTGGAACGTAAAATTATCAGATATAGATTTTTATTATAGCCAAAAATCTCATTGATATAAAATTGTAAGTAAGTTGAGTGGTAGAGCTATGCTGCAGGTATATTTCGGCTGCATCACGAATGGATCGGCTCGACCGGGAAAGGATCATACTTTCACAGGATACCTGCATAAAATAGCAACCTAATGCCGATGTGTTTCGTATGGTGAGTGTAGAAAACCAGGGACTTTGGGACTGTGTGCTCACTTATCACTTTTATTCTATTAAAAATATATTTTGCACAACTTTCAAAATAGGTGGAGTTCTACGTTCGATGCGTATATTTAGCGATTTCTCGGAAATGGTTGGACCGGTTTAATTGATTCCATTTTATCGGTTCAGTATTACTTCAAAAGTGGTTCGTTATGCCATGATGCTTGGAAATACCTAAATTCTAATTGAATTTTTCTTTTGTTAACTTTTCAACATGCATGAAATGTAAATGATATTATATTCTCTTTACCTTTGGCTTGCGTGAGTATGTAATAAATTACTATCATTAGTTTCCCTTTAAAGTTTCAAATACAATGTTTAATATAATAGGTTTGAGTTAACGGGTTCAATGGGATGTCAGTTTATGTATGTAATCAAAGAGAAGCCATATTTTCTTTGGTCACGCAATGGGAAGTTAAACCCTTCTAATTTTAGACTAGTTCAAACAAAACATTAACGTCTCAAAATAACTTATTTAGGAAAAGTTTTATAACTCTGAACGTAGGCCTCCCCCATAGATTAGCTCACACGGGGGATAAATGTCATAGTTGCCACTTTTTTATTTATAGTTGTTATTTGAAAGACGTTGCTATCCATCTCCTGGTTTGTTCACTTTGTCGCATCTTGCAACACCCACAAAACGACATGAGAAATATCAACGAGCTCTTAACAAGATAATCGTCAGGTAAACATTCTTCTTATTCAAAAGGTCCCTACAGGAACTACAACAACCTTTGTTGCAGGTAAGATTTGCCATAATTGAACCGCTTGGCAAATCATTTTATAGAATACGGTTGAAAAACGTGCACACAGACCACCTGATGGTAAGTGGATGCTGTGGCAGATAGATCTACATTTAGACCCCGATTAAGGATTAAAATGCAGATGTTTTGTCACCCCTGGTTTCTAAGATGGAATGCTTCGTTTCCAGTAAAAAAGTCTTCGGTTATCTACATTCACCATACGAAACACAGCAGCCTTAACTTGCTATTTTACACTGGTATTTTGTGAGAGCGTGGTCTAACACCGGTCGAGCTGACCCATTTGTGCTACAACTAATACAGTTGCAGCGTGGCTCTACCACGTATACATAATACATACTAAATTCACCGCAAATGAAATCTAATCGCCGTAAACGTATTACTGTAACGTACTGAAATAAAATAAAAACTGATGGCTCCGTGGCGCAGTGCCTTAGCAATAAATTGCGGCGCTGAGGACCGCGGGATCAAATTCCGCACGGTACAAGTATTTGTAAGACCTAAAAATAATTGTTCTGGATGTTCTTTCTTGTGTAATTTATGTATGTAAACTGCTTTCACGAACAGGAGAAAATCCTAGTGTGTAAAAAGATACTTTTTTTTAAATAACTAGGTACACCGCTGACAGTATGTTTAACATTTTCCGTATTCGCTTTTCACGATCCTACGGATCGAAAGGGTATGATGAAAACTCGCCGCCGCGTGGTAACATTTCACAACAATGAAGTTAAAATTAGTGTCCGATAAATTTAAAACGTACGATAATAAAAGAATATTTTAAATAGCTACGACAACTTAAATTGAAAGAAGTACATTTTTTTTGTGTAATAGGGGGCAAGCTAGCATTCGGCTCCCCTGATTGTAAGTGACTACCGCTGGCAACACCAGGGGGAATTGCAGATGCGTGGCCAACTTTATGAAAAAGGGCAAACTCTTTTATGAAGGTCATTGAGCTGTGCCAGTCCGAAAAACACGGTGTTGGTAGTCATTTCCACAAGGAAGTTGTTCGAGGAAGAAAACTTCTAGTATATCACACAGTGGTGGACCCCCAAATATCCAGATGAATGGTGAAATTTAGCGACTGGAATTAGTCCAAACAATTTCTCTGAGTACTTCCCGTGGCAGATTTTTTTATATAGGAGGAGGCAAATGAATATGCGGCTCACCTGATGGTAAGTCGCGGGGAATAGCTAGTACAAAATATGAATATCCTGGCGAGATTTTATGTTTACAAGTATTAATATGTAATTTAATGTTAATATAGTTTTCATGGTAGTGAATGCTAAAATATCTTAATGACCGTTGTCCTTAACCTAACTAAAATATCTAAAAAGTAACGTAAAGCCAGTAAAAATTTTAAAAAATTTTGCGCGATTTCTCTTTTGACATTTGAAGCAGTAATAAAAATTTGATTAAGTTGTTTAAGATGATGAGAAGTAATAAAAAAAATATAATGAAGCATGCACGGTCGCCAGCAGAACGCGTCCTTCAAGCTGGAATCCTCCTTAAAGTTTATTATGTCTAGATTTAGGCAGGAATTGGTGACTATTAGTGAATTAAGAAAAAAAAATAGCTTTAGAATATATCTCTTTTGCTGTGAAACATGTGTCAAGATAAGTGCCTAATTAGTGACTGTTAATTTAAAAAGAATCAATTTATTTTTCAGGTGGAACTTAATGGAAAAGTTACTTAAAGTGCTACGCGTACAAAGTTTTGGTGATGTACATTTGTAGCATTAAACTACTTACGAGAAATTGAGAAACGTAGCATTTATTTCCTTCTAAAAGTTTTATAAGTACTACATATTATTCCTATCACAAAATAGCGCTGGGTTTTATAAAATGATGTTGGTGTAAATTAAATGGTTTTTAGACTCAGTTTGCTAACTATTAAAAATAACTACAATTCCATTGGAGTTATATATTTCAATCTCGCTAAATGAAAGTGACCAATTCCTGACTAAATCTTGACATAATAAAATTTAGGAAATCGTTGGGGAGGATTCCAGCTTGAAGGACGCAGCAGAACTAAAATAATATGGTGGTTGATGGCCGATATTTGATACAAATAGTTGTTTGCTACAATAAATATTAATTTTGATTTGAACTTTCTATTAAAAAAATATTTTCACATTTATCTTCCATATTAATTGTGTTAGAACCGCCATTAGATACTTTCGACCCCTACTATTCATTAATTTTGGTGCTTCTTTCTAGCACTGAGAATCTATTTCTTATATTGTTCGTTTATTTTCATCTTTTTCTTATTCTTTATAATCTTGCAAAAGAAGCCCATAGCCAGCAGTGCTATGGGCTTCTCACAGATATGGAAGATTTTCGATACCGCCAACTATAGATCTCCATACATTGTCTCACACCTTAGACACGATCATTTTTGCCAGTGTTATTTTATACGTGCGACAGCTTTTAGGTAGTCATGTGGTGATGGTGCAAAATAATCCACTGCCCATTTTTGTACCTTGGGCGTCGTAACAGCAATTATCGGAACTGTAAAAAATAGCTTCTAATGGATGGTGTTACCACCAGGATTGACAATTCGCCTGCTCACCGTGTAAATTATGGCCATACTAATTATAACTTAATTTTTTTAATTTAAATTTAAACTTATTACTACTTTTCAGTTTACTAGGTGATACGAGGTATTCCCTTCTGACTACGAGTCCGTCTGGGTGGGTACTCTTACCTATTTGGTATCCATAGGCTACATTAGCCATTTAATATCAGGTGGACTGTGTTCTCGATAGTATCTTCAGTTTAATAAAGAAACAATGTGGGAGGCATACGTCCGGCAATAGGATTTGCAAGTCCAGGGGTAGACTTTACAAGTTACTGATGGACGAAGAAATAAGAATAACATATAAGAAACGGTACGCCTCTATACGTCGGATACCGTGAATGTTTCTGGTATTTCTCGTGATCGCCTCTTACCATACGGTATATTCAGTAATTTTCAGATATACAATAAAAATGCACAACTGTGATGAGTCAAATCTTAAACTAAAAATAAGCAATCCTTATTTTTCTAAAATTATAATGTACTTATTAAATATATTACTTAAAAGTACTTAGAGATGTTTAACAATAAAGAAATAATGATGTAGCTATCAACTTATTTGATTGTTGACAGACTTAAACAAATTTTTACTTTTATTTATTTGAATATTCTCAAAAGTTTTTGACACACTTGAATGAATTTATTTTTAAAACGATCAACGTTATTAATTTACACTTTCTTTCTTGTTCCAGGCTTTGCAAAATGGCTGCGCACATAACTGACAGTACAGAAGCAATTACCAATTCTGGCTATGGCAGCAGTGATGAGACAGCAAGTCTTCTCGTTTCAACACCAGCAGTGACAGTTATAGTACCCACTGAAAACAGAACAGTGAAACCGATTTTACAACGGCAAGATTGTACGACTAATTTGCGGCCCCACTTATCGGGCGAACCGGGCAGTGAGGAAAGTGCGACGTCCATCAGAGTTGATGATAATTCAACAAGAAGTGTTCCAGATATAGAATTACAGTGCCGAGATCCACCAGACCGCCCGCAAACGCTTATATCGCCCGTAGCAACTGGTACTCACAGAGGATCTGTAACAGCATGCCCGCTAGTTCCGCAAAGCTATACAAGATGTCGTGTTTGTGAACGTAGACAATCCACGGCGCCAGTATCGGCACTACAGCTAGCGCGATCTGTTTCAAGAGAGAGTGTTCGTTCCGCTTTTCATTACAACTGCGGCTGTAGTTCCCTACACGCTGTCAATACCTGTCCGGTTATGCAAGCTCCAGCTCTATTACTACCTAATACTAGTGCGAGAATTATCCGACAGAGTTCGCAGCCAGAGTCAAGCGCATGCGTAACACAGTGCCCTCATCATGTGCACCATCATCCTAGCGCCTCCTTGCGGCAACTGAGGGAACCAGGCGACGGTATTGCCGGTATAGCAGCTGATTCATTGAGAATAAATGGAGGGATGCGACCTTTCAAGCAGGTAAGTACGATGGCTAGTAGATGGCGCTCTTACATAAGTGTTAATGGTTTTTTTTTTAGTATTTTGTTGACTTCACATTATTTTTGTTGATATTTTTATCAAACAACATAAGCTAGCTTTTAGTAATTATTAATAAATTATTTAATCTAACCAAAATTTTACAGAATTCTAACAAAAAACGGTTAGTATTCATAAGTACCTATACTTAATTTCTAATTAATTTTAGTAAGTATTGTATAATTTATTTATCTCTTATTTAACGTATGAGTACCCTCCTAAGGAGAATCACTATTAACTATTCTTTTATTTGTATAATAATTAGATTTTATAAAATTTAATTATAGTTAGGTAAGATGTACATAATTGCAACAAATATATTTTCTTAGTAACTTTTTACACAATGCCCACATTTTAATCATGCTGTTGTATTATATTTATTTTTCACATTTGAGTTATAACCCATATTAATTTATTATATAAATCTTACATAAAATTCAAAATAAAATGTTTATATTATTTGTTAAATCATTTGTATATTCTAATGTTTAATTCAAGTTGTAAGTTGTTTACTTATTATTTTTATTTAGTTTTTATTGCATTAACCTTTGCAGAACTATAAGTAAAAAGGCTTATGAGTCGGCGTGTATGTGCTGTGTAAGGATCTTGACGGCGATTTTCTAGTTGAACAAAAATCAAATCTGAAGCTTTGATTTGATTTTTTTAACCAACAGGGGCTGCTACTCTGCCCACAAACCCTGTCGCAGACTCGCCGAGCTCGCCTGAGACGTGCATTCACTGAAGCAACAGGAGATACTGTTAACTACGTTAGAACGGTTGGATAATGATAATTGCCTCTGCACTATTGCCACTATCGGCTGTACAATCTAAAATTAATGCTACTTATTTTGAATATCTGGAACCAGTTTATTTACATTCTGTATATTAATTAAATTTCAGCAAACAGATTCACTAATGTATTTGAACTGTATCACAAAACATAATTTTGGTTTTAGTATTTGCATGTTCACTAGTAACGTAGCTCCATTCTTAATCAGACTATTATTTTTAAGCATTGCTATTGTAGCTATTAGCGCGCTACAGTCACTAATTTCACTCCTACGATTGTACAGTCGAGCGTTTAATGGTAGCTATTATCTTAGTTGGCGAATGTGTCGTCCCTGTAGCTTCGATAAATGATCACGGTTGACCTTTCCTTCACGGCCTTGATATATCCCACGACACAGATATGGGTTTCATGAACAAATTGTGTGTCTCAAACATTATTACCCTCAAGAATACATGTTATCGCATTACTGCGCACATATTGGCAATTGCAGAATTGGCTTTGAATGTCAAATCATCAATGCATCATTCCGTTTGAATTTTTTTCTTGGGATGAGAAAGATTTTGACATTTTCGCAGTATCATGGACATGTTTCATATTTTAATTACAAATTTATAGTTATATTAGAATCCATCAACTTTATCAAAAATACACAGCACCTACACATGTTAATGCTTTATTTGGTACTAAAATTTAGCACATTATTGAATATAAATTAGCTAGCACAGTGCCTTTGCTTTAATGTTTATTCATATTTATATAGTGTTAGTTAAAAATAGACGAGATATTTTAACGCATAAAATTTAAATATTGAACCTCAACTTCTTGTCTTCTACAACTAAGAACATACTTATCATTGTTCGTCACTATTTAAACGAAAGTGTCAAGACAATACTATTCAAATATAATTATTTAAAATGTTTTCGTTGTGTTGATACATTTATTGTAAGGTATGCTTGTGGTAATTACAAAAAATAAATTTTAAAACTCAATTATCTTACTAGCTGTTACTTATTCTGATTCGCTACCTACAGAGGTGAGACAACAGTAAGAAAACAACGTCTATCATAGTTTTCAAATGAGCTGTGCACTATAAGAAGAAAATCTTAACTAATTGTAAAGATCGACGGGACAGTAAACAAGAGTATACTTCAATACTGTGTAATATTCATATTACGTTCACCATTACCTCAACCAAACCAAGTGGCTACCAAATATCTACAAGTAATGAAGTTGTGTTTACGTTTAAATATAAGATTGTTTACACCAATGCAATATAACGCGGTTCTTTACAGCTAGCCTTATACGGTTAAAATCAGTAAGCGATAGAGAGGTAATGTTTCTGCGTGATAATTTACAAAAGAAAGTTTATCGAGTGGCAGCCTCCTAATGGCAAGCGAGTGTAGGGCAACCACCCACTAAATAAAGTAACGATCAGATGAGACATGCAGATAGTCGGTGCATGCAGGTGACTCAGGACCGTACTTTACTTAGGAATGAATCGAGATAATAACAGGTCGAGGAAAAACTTTTCTTCGTATTTTGTTTGTATAAAATTGTAGAAAAATCTCTTTGGTTGTACTGTTTGTATGTAGCTGGTTTTAATATATATATATATATATAAAGAAAACGTACTTTCCCGGCATTTTACAAGTGTTTTTCTGCCCGCCAAAATCAGTAAATCTAACAAAGAAATTTGAATGATTCTGAAGTTTTATTACAAAAAATGGAAAATGCAAGCCTCAAGCCGTTAAAAAAATTTGTGACGTTTATGGACCTAATGCAGTGTCAGTAAGAGTAGCACGAGGTTGGTTCAAGCGTTTTCAGTCCTGAATTTGATGTTGAAGATGTAGCTCGCTATGATCGCCCTCATAAGGATAAAGGCGATGCCACTTTGAAAAAGTTACGACATAGCCGAGAAATTGAGAATTGACCGCAAAACAGTTTTGACCATTTGAAAAAGTCTGGCCATACAAAAAACCTCGATATTTGGGTACCACACGAGATTACTTTATTAACTTACTAATGAATCGTGAACTCATTTGTGATTCTCTATTGTAACGTAATGAAACTGAACCATTTTAGAAAAGATTGATTGCTGGTGATGAAAAATTATCGCATAAGTTATCGTCAAGAACGTGCAAAAAGATCATGGTCAAAAGGTAGTTAAGCTCCACAGACTGTAGCGAAACCCGGGTTAACACGCAATGTGTGTATTAACCCGGGTGCTGATGCTGTGTGTATGGTGGGATTGAAAGGGCATCGTTTATTATAAGCTTTTACCGCCAGGCACAACCATCGATTCAGATCTCTACTGCCAACAACTAATGACTACACTCATTTTTGGCCACTTAGTAAAATTGAGAGAGCTTGGTTGGGAAGTGTTAATGTACCTATTCACTATATAGTCCTGACCTTCATACTGACCATATAGACCTGACTCTCAGATTCTCACCTGTTTCGGTCTCTTCAGAATTCTTTGGGTAGTGTTAGGTTAACATCATGAGAGGACTGTCAAAACTTCTTGTCGCAATTTTTTGATCATAAATCCTAAGATTTCTACAGCAACGGGATTATGTCACACACACACCTACACGATGGCAACAAATTATCGAACAAAATTGCACATATAACTTTGTAAAAAAAATGTCTTGAATTTGTATATAAAATACGAAGAAACTTTTCGCCTGACACTATGACTAGGAAAAGGCCGAATACATGGCAGAACGCCTCTAGAAAATATATTAAAAATAATGTGAAATTTGTAGTATTTCGTCTAGTCAGCCTTATTTTCATAGAATAGGGTGACAAACGAGCACACAGTCCACCTGATGGTAAGTGGTTGCTGTGGCCCATAGACATCTACATCTATCCTCGTTTGCGAATCAATATGCAGATCCATTGTCACCGTTAAGCTGCTATCTTACGCTGCTATTCTGTGAGAGCGTGGTTCTTCCACGGTCGAGCTGACCCATTCGTGTTACAACTATACTACTAATATAGCTGCAGCATGACTCTACCACGTACAAAAGCCTAACTCAAAAACGCAAAAAACGGACCTTAAGACACAAATTGCACCTTTACAAAACCTGCGTACGCTCCGTTAAGATATACGCAGGTATGTCCTTTGCCCACGTTCACCCTTATCAACTCTGGCAACTACAGGTTGTCCAAAACCAGTTTCTGCGACGAATCTCAGAAGCTCGATATAATGTAAGGAACGCGGATCTCCACCGCGATCTCGACATTCCCACCATCTAGTCTTATCTTAAGGAAATATTTACGCTGCTGTTGTATAAGTGCGTGGAAAGAACCACACACTTACACAACAGCAGGGTAAATAGCAGCTTAATGCTGCTGTGTTTTTATGGTGAGTGTAGGGAACCGGAGACCCCTTTTTATGGTAAAATGTATTCTATCTTGTCTTGTGAAAACACATCTACATTTGATACTGAATTAAATATTGATATAGGTGTCTGTGGGTCACAGCATCCACTTACCATCAGGTGGACGGTGCTTTTTTGTCACCCCTGTTCTATAAAAAAGAAAACAAGCAACATTTATGATTGTTTAATAAACAGATTAGGCTTCTAGAAATCAATCCAAGTTAGAACATTCTTCATCCGACCGATTCCTATTGTCCTCTTCGGAATACATTTTGAATGATACTGAAGATGAATCCACAACCGCATCGATTAATTGTCGATCGATGATTGAACAACGTTTTTCGGCCAGTATGCGTCGATAAGATAAAGCTACCACATCAATCAATCGACATCAATCGACGTCGATCAATGGCATCGATTAAAGATCGATCGATTGGTGTGATAACACCCTAATAAAGTCGAAATTAATACAATCACTTAGTTCTAATATGCTTACCATTAAATTTAATTGAATTTTATACGTATATAGGAATCCTTTTCCGCCTAGGAGTCTGTCTGGGTAGGTTTTTACCAACTTTGTACCTGTTTCTGCCGCCAAGCAGCAGTACTGGCACTGCTCTGTTCTGTTTTGAAGGGTATATATAGCCAGGACAATTACAGGCTGTGTGATATTTCATATTAGTCCTCACAGGTGACAACGCATCTGTAGTCTTCACTGTTTAAAGTTCGCTGCAAGTCTTTGAGATTCCTCATCTGGCCTGCGGTAGGGGACCACGTCTCAGATCCATAGGTCACACAGAGGATGTGTCGTAATCTCCCAAACGCTGTCCAGCCGAGTTGAATCCGTCGATTGACCTCTCGGTCAAAGTTGGACTATTTGTACCACCAGCGGTAAAGAGTTTCGGGGATATTACTTCGCACAGTCTTACACCTATCTACAGTTGGATAGGTTTCGTACTCTAGTTCTGTACTTTCTTTCGGTGGTAGAGCCACGCGGCTTTTTTTGCTGTTGCACGTATGGGCCGGCTTGAGCCGGTTTGATACCACGACCTCACAGAATACCAGCGTGAAATAGAAGCTCTGCTTCTGTGTTTCGTCTGGTGAGTGCAGGTGGCCGGAGGCCCAATTCCCCCCCCCTTCCCCCCATCAATATGGTAGCGGAAATACACGTTAGACTACCCCAGGAGCGCACCAGCACCCCTGGAGAATCCCTCGCTGAGCATCCACGACCATGTTATTCCACTCCTAAGCAAAATTCCGCTCAAAAACATAACTGCTTCACTCGAACCTAAACGCCGTCCACTACCATCTCGAGACGGCGAAGCCGGTCTTGCTCTTTCTGACCGAGACGCAGGTGTCCTCTCCGGCTGATACTTCGTATCTCTCCTGCCCGGGGTACAAATTGGAGCACTCCTTTGTGCCTCGGGCTTGAGTTTGCGTGTTTGTCAGAGAGGACATCTGTTCTCGACGCCTCGGCAGTCTTGAAGGTTCGGACCTGTCCATCCTTTGGCTACACGTAGACAGCGACGACCATCCGCGCGTATACGGGTGCCTCTATAGGTCCCATAGCAGTAATGCCGACACAGACCGACTCATCGACCAC